CGCTTAGACTGACGTCCGGGATATCATCGGAAGAGTGTCGGATAAGGCTTGCTCTTGGAACGATGATGTGTACAGCTGCCCATAGAACCTCTCAATCTCACTCAAAATCTCAGGTGTCCCGGAAACGATGCTGCCACACTCAGTCTTCAGCTTTGACAGTTGGCTCTTATTGGCAGACAGATCTCTGGCAAAGACTTTGGAGCCCTGGTTCCGCTCGATTGCTTCTTTAATACGAGCAGTATTAAAGTTGCGTAAGTCTCGCCGCATGCATTTTGAGATCTGTCTGTTCAGTTGCCTGAATGCTGTCAAATCTGTTGACGATTGCAGCCTCATCTCCCGTCTAATAGCCTGAGATTAAGAGTGTGATCGGAGAGTTTTTGTGTTCTTCTGCGGCGGGTCTTGCAGAACGTAGCTCCGACCGCATGGACAGTTTCCACCAGCTTGTTATTCATATCGCCCACTGCATTGCAATCTTGTAGGCACTGAAAGCGGTTACGTAACTCAAGCTGAAAGTTTTCGGGATTCTGGATTAGAGCACGAGGGGAACGGAGCGTTGACTTCATTAGACGAGACCTCTCCAACTTAACGTTTAGTTTCAGTGTGCCTCTCACCATTCGGTGATCGCTGCTAGTTTTCACCCTTGCGATCACTGAGACATCACTGAACAGTTGGCGTCTGGTCGTCATAATGAAGTCAATCTCATTTTTTGTCGAACCGTCGTGGCGCGACCAGGTCCTCTTCCTATGGGGCCGCTTCTGGAAGAAAGAGTTCATCATAAAGAGTCCCTCTTTCTCCATAAAGTCGGCCAGCTGCTGGCCCCTTCAGTTCCGTTGCCCTACTCCAAATTTCCCTAACTTCAGCTCACCGTTTTCTCTTGTGCCTAGTTTTGCGTTGAAATCTCCCATCAACACCGTGTAGTGGGCTTTGGAGGAATGCATGGCTTTGGAAATATCCTCATACATTTCCTCCACCTTCTCATCGGTATGTGCCGAGGTTGGTGCGTAAACCTGTATGACCTTCAGCGAATACCGTTTGGTGATTCTGAGTATCAGGTACGCGACCCTCATCGACACACTCCCAATCTTTACAACGTTGTTGACGAGAGACTTGTGGACGATAAATCCGACACCTCCTTCGGACAGATGGTCGCCCTCCCGGTGATAGAACAAGTTGCCGGATTCGAGAATCATCGTGTCCGTCCTCCCCCCTCTCTTCGGACCTCGGATAATCCTATAATATTCCACACTCACTCTTCTTCCAGCTCCAGGATCTTCTCGTCAGTCCTCAGGGTGCGTGCGTTAAATGTTGCCAGGTCGAGTCGTCGTAGGTGGCCACCGAACCTCCACCGGAGATTCTTAGCACCCCCTGCCCCGCCGTTACCATGGTCGCCACCGTAGCCAGGAATAGCGGGGCCGCCGGGGACTGGGGGCCGTCTATTTGTGTAATTGTTCATGGGGGGTATATTGCCATAGTTGCCACGCTTGGCGAGCGGGTTGGCAACCGCAGTGTTTTTTGTCGTACAGTTGCTGTTATCAGGAAGATGCTGCTGCCCATCTCCTGCCTGTTTCCCTCTGTCGCCTTATACGACACCCACGGGAAGATATGGGGTAGTGGATATTCTTAACCGCCACTACACGGCTTAATAACGGAATATGACATAATTTCATAATATATTTTATATATTTTATATTTCATAATTTATGTATGAATTGGACAAACAGCTTTGATTCAGACAATCAACATTTCCGGTGCTTTGCTCACTTTTTAAACCCTGGTACAAGATTTATTAAAGACCTTAGCAATACACAGTGAAACTGACAATAAGGGACAAGAACAGCGGTATGAAGATAATGAAGACGAAACAGAGGAAGATGAAGAATATGCGCCAAATATTGCTGACTCACGTACAGCTATAACAACATTACGCAGTTTTTCCAGTAAAATAAAAAGAAGTGAGACATTGAAGAGGAAGTTTCAGTCTGCTTGTGAAGCAGCTGGCGTGCCATCAAATCTGAACCTTAAACTCGACTGTCCAACGAGATGGAATGCCACATATGATATGATTTGAAAGTGAGAACTGGCATTAACATATTGTGCACTTCTGTCACCGAATTGAATGATTTTCAAATCACAGATAGTGAATGGCAAATACTCGAAAAAATGCATAAGTTTCTAATAAACTTTAAACTTCTATCAACGAAACTTGGTGGAGAAAAATATGTTACATTACAGCTAGTCATTGTATCATTCAATCTCTTGCTCGATAAAATTGAATCCATGGTAAAACAATTAGATGAGAAACCTAATCGATCCGAAGTGGATGTAAGGCTCATTCTGGGTTTTCAAGCAGCTCGAGACAAAATGCTTAAACATTATAAAAAGAGCAACTGGATTTATTGTAACCTCTTTAATTTTAGATCCAAGGCATAAGACTCAGACTTTTGATATGACATTATGGGGGAAGCAAATTAAAACAGAAAGCCTGCGCAAATTTAATGAACTTTATAAAGAATATAAAAGTCTACACTCAGTGAATACATCTCTAAAATCAGCAAGAAATGAAAAGAAAGTATGTGAATATGATGAAGATGAAGACGTAATAGACTTTGGGAAATTGTATGCATGTCCCTCGACGTCATATGGATCTGGATCTTTTCATCAAGGCTTAGTTATAGACGAGTTGGAGGAGTACCTAAGTAAAGCCAGAGCCACCCCCAGTTCGGAAGACATTTTAGAGTGGTGGAGGACGCATGAGACAGAATATCCGACTTTATCGAAGATGGCCCGTGATTTTCTTTCAATATCTGCAACTTCAGTACCTGCTGAGAGATTATTTTCTAAAGCATCATTAGTAATTAGAAAACATAGAAATAGGTTAAGTGATGAGTCAGCCAGATGGTTACATTGTATTCATTCTTGGTCAAAAGAATTAATATAAAGTAACAGTAATGTCAAAGCTCTTGTGTACTGTTATGTAATTTAATTTGTATTGTTTTTTTATTTTTTTATTTAAATAAATGGTAAATTGTATAACTCTTTTATTCCATTTCATATAAGGGTCTATCAATCTCTTTCTAGACAGATAATGTTCTTTATAATACAGTCAAGTTAATGTCATTAATTTGTTTTTTATATGTTTTGACTAAGTTTTAGCACATGTAAGCTTATTAAATGTAAACGTTTATTAAGAAAAAGACTAACTCCCGTGGACGTGAGACTTAGTTAGCCTTGGTTAGAGCATCGGCACGGATCGCTTAGGTCGTGGGCTCAAACCCCACCCGGTATTAGTTGATTTTTCGAATTTCTCATTAAATGTTTAGACATTTATTGATTTGGTTAGTCTTTCTATGGCTATATGTGCCTACTCTGTTAAGTTGTTCTAAGATCTAAAGTAACGTTTAATAAATAACAATAGGCTAATATGTAATTGCGAGACTTTCGAGACTCTTGCTGCAAGACCAAGACCAAGAACAAGACTGAGAGCGCAATGCCAAGACCAAGAACAAGACCAGGTGTATTGGCGCAAGACCAAGACCAAGACTGGCTAAGTATCGTTTTGTTCTTGCATTTGGGCAACACTAAAATCAGCGCCCTTTTAATTCTTTAATATTTGATTGACTGATGAAGAGCTATCGTACCACATATTCATCTATGCATAGGTAGCTGTAGTTCTTAAGTTATAAGAAAGTGACTATATTAACCGGTTGACCATATTACCCTCACGTACAAAATTACCTATTTAGTTTACACTTAACACCAAAGACCATTTGGTCGAATGTCATGGACATGTCAAAATTTTTTTATTGTAAAAATGGCTTCTACTGGTCCCAAAATATGCACTGTGTACTGTATGTTTTTGTTTTTTTTAATCGTTTTATTTACCCCTCTTTTTTTAGGTGTATACTTTAAGATACACCGGCCTGGGAATTAATCCGAGACGAAATTTACGTTCCCAGGCCAGGTGTATCTTAAATGGTACACCACATGATTTTGTAAAAAAAGACTCATACCTCACTAAGTATCTATTATTTCCTTTTCGTGTCAGATTTTGGAATAAGACAGAAGATGAATCAAGATGATTAAAACTACTTTTACGGATTTTATCGCGTTTATTTTTACTTTTTATTTTTTAATTCCCGACGTTTCGGGCGCTTTCCAGCACCCATGGTCACGGGGGACTGAGATGACTGACGTCCCGATGTCATTGTTAAACCCGGAGAACCTTCAGCTTTTTTTATTGTTTATGGTCCGATCTATGCAAAATGAACTGACTATGTCCTGAGGTCTTGCAGTGGTATGCTTGGGTTTAGTTTTAATTTTATTGATTATAGGATCCCAAGCAGGTGGTAGTACCCAGCCTCCTTCTCTATTGAAATTATGATGTTTTTTAATTTGCAGACTTCCCTCTCTCTGCAGTCTGCAGTTTGTGATCATATCCTAGACGGCCCCAACCATTACATCAGATTTGATAGACCACAAATCCTCGCGAAAGAACACCGATTCCTACCAAGGATGATACGTGAGGCTATTGAAATTAAAAAACATCCTAATTTCAATAAAGAAGGAGGCTGGGTACTACCACCTGCTTGGGATCCTATAATCAATAAAATTAAAACTAAACCCAAGCATACCACTGCAAGACCTCAGGACATAGTCAGTTCATTTTGCATAGATCGGACCATAAACAATAATTAAAAAAGCTGAAGGTTCTCCGGGTTTAACAATGACATCGGGACGTCAGTCATCTCAGTTCCCCGTGACCATGGGTGCTGGAAAGCGCCCGAAACGTCGGGAATTAAATAATAAAAAGTAAAAATAAACGCGATAAAAATCCGTAAAAGTAGTTTTAATCATGTGCAATGTTCGCGTAAATATAAGAAATCATTATGAATCAAGATTGCAAAAAAGGAAAAACTATAGCGAGAATTGTAAGTTCTTGCTATAATTTTTCCTTTTCTTTGTTGTTACAGTGAAGTGAAAATTTGTTTTATAAAAATATCATGGATTTCTCAAGCGATGACTCTCTTGATGATCCCAGTTACGCACCTGACGCATCTGGTGACTCAACTTCGGAGTACGATAGTGCAGATGAAGAGCTTTTAGCCAGATCGAGGATCCATCACTCGACCAACAGACCAAGTTCAACTGGTTCGACCCAGAACTTTTCTGAAGATGAAATAGTTAGGCAGCAAGTTGCCAATATTGATTGGGGTATCCCCAAAGATCATATGCCTACTGAAAACTTCTCAGGTGTGGCAGGCATGAAGGATATACATCAAGGAATTATGGCAGATGGTACACCACTTGATTATTTCGAGGTGTTTTTGACTTTTAATATAGTTCAAACGATAGTTGATCAAACTAACCATTACGCCTGCCAACATTTAACTGCAGGCAATATAGATGTTGGTCCACAGTCAAGACTACATAATTGGAAACCTGTGACCATCAATGAAATGTATAAATTTCTAGCTCTCATTGGGTGGATGGGGCTGGTGAAGCTACCTTGCATTCGTGATTACTGGAGGAAGCATAAGCTGTATGGACTACCACTGGCCAGAACAGTTATGCCACGTAACAGATTTGAGCTTATCCTGAAATTCCTTCATTTCTCAGATAACGAACAAGACCCCGGCGATGACCGTTTGTATAAGCTAAGAACATTGATGGATAAGTTCATACATAATTTTCAAAACGCTTTCACACCTGGTAAAATGATATGTATCGACGAAAGTCTGATCCCTTGGAGAGGGAGACTTATTAAGAAGCAATACATCCCGAACAAACGCCACAAATGGAATTGCACGTTATGAATATGTTTCTATGTGGAAAGACCACGTGAATGCTCAAGCAGATCAAGGTGCTGCTAAAAAAGTTGTGATAAGCCTAGTAAAAGATCTACTAGATGAGAACAGACTTTACACGGATAATTACTACACGAGTATCCCACTTGCCTATAGGCTCAAGCATAGAAAGACAATGGTGGGGACGTTGAGACTCAATAGAAAGCATTTACCAAAAGATTTAGTCACACAAAAACTGAAGAAAGGAGAAATAATAGCGACGGAAACGACAGACGAAAAAATTGGCGTGACGAAATGGAAAGATAAGAGAGTCGTTACAACTTTGAGCACTGTTCATTCGGCGAAGAAAATGACAGCAGTAAAAACAAAAAGAGGACAAGTTATTTTCAAACCGGATTCTGTTGTTGATTACAATACTGGCAAGTCATCAATAGACGTCAGTGACCAAATGGCTTCATATGCATCAGCTTGAGGCGATGTACTAAATGGTACAGAAAGCTAGCAATGGAGTTTATTTAGGGTACGAGTTTGGTAAATGCCTACTTTCATTATAATGAGTGTTCTCGAAACAAGAAAATTACTATAACGGAGTTTCGTGAAAAAGTTATCGAAGGAATGATTGATAAATTTGTGAATCAATCACCAGGAAACCAACCACCTTCAATCAGCAGAGAAGCTGCTGGGAGCAGCAGAGGAGCTGCTGGAAGCAGCAAAGAAACTATTGGATCCAGCAACAAGCATCTTTTGGTGAATTTCCTAGTTGGCAGACCGCCAAAATTGAAGCGTGGCCGATGCAAAGGCTGCTATGCCATTTATTGGAAGAAGGGGATGGAAGTTGGTGGGAAGAGGAAGTATGCCACCCAAGTGTAAACTATTTGTAATATTTGCAAATCATTTTACTGCCGTAATTGTTTTAATCTAGCACATAAGTAACTTAAAATTATCTAGAATAACTATTAAGTGAACGAAAATAAACAATGTCGATTTTTTGACATATTTTTTATTATTTTTAGACATTTTCCCAACTCAGAAATAGTGGAGTATTCTCCAGGGCCAGCCCTATCGAATCGCCTAATAAAATGTTTTAAAACGTGTATACTTTTCTATACACCGGCTTCTGAATAAGATCGTGTCGGGTGTATCATTAAAGATACACCGGCCTGGGAGTATAGGTACAATGGTGTATAGTTAAGTATACACCGGCGCTGAGTGTGTTAAATGTAAAAACTAAATCATAATTATCTTCTCCTCATCAACACATGTTTAATGCTGAACAAGGGTGCTTTTCCCGTTGTAAAAAGGATTTGCAGCACCAAACGTTTCGCACCTTTGACGCGGCTACCCGTCGCTGGTCTGGGTTTTACTTTTGGCGTAAGCGGGATAGTTATATCGCAATCTATCGAATCGTTCTGTATAGTTGTCTCTTATGACACCCACCGGACAAAAGAGGGTGATGGATTCTCTTTCGATACAAACAATATACGAATACAATACACGAACAATGCAATATATGAACTATGCAATATACGAACGATGCAATATACGAACGATGCAATATACGAACGATGCAATGTACAAACGAACAATATGTTGTTAATTTAAAAAATTACATTCCTCGGAAGAGGCCTATGTTCGACAGTGCACCAGAGATGAGCTGTGACGGTCATGACGATGAATAGTTATAATTCATGATAAATTAAAAAAATAATAAGTAGAATAAAAAGCTTCCTAATCTACTCTTCTCCTATGTAACACTTATACGCTAAGATTGTAGATGGGCTCGGACAAAACACATGCACACTTGCGTTTTGCTTATATGTTAACTCCAACGGGCACACAAACCCAGTACCCGGTGTCACTACACATTCACTAAAGTGACAATCGCAAGCGAGGTTGAAAAGTTTATGATTGTAGATCATTAGAGTCCACGGTTGGACATAGGCCTATCCTATAGATTGCCTCATGTGAGGGTTTTGCCAAAGTTGCCACGTTTTTCAGGTGGTTTGGCAACCACCGTTAACGTTATAACCTATTAAAGTCCACTGCTGAACATAGGCCTGAATTTGGTTGGATCCTAGTTCAGCACCTAAACAATGCTCTAAACGAAAACTTACGCCTAGAAAAATTATAGTTAATGTTTGGTGGTCCAGCGCCGGTGTGATTCATCACAATTTCTTACCCAAATGGGTGAGAATTACTGCAGATATGTACTGTGAAAAACTGAACACAATGATGGAGAAGCTCGCACGCCTCCAACCAACGTTGGTCAATCGCTCGTCCCCGTTGCGCCTGTACAATAACGCACGACCTCATACTGCACAACAGTCCGTTTCTAAGTTACAAGATTTGGGGCTGGAAGCTCTCCGTCATCCATCCACCGTACTCATCAGATCTTGTGCCTATAGACTTCTGACGATATTTGTATGACCAATGAGCAGATTGGGTTTATAGTAGTGATAATAGAACGTAACCGCTTGTATCTGTACTCCCGGCGACACCGGTTCTCGTACAAAATAAGGTTGGTAGCCAATATATTTTGTATTAAAGTATTCTATGCACCTGAATCTTAACGTGAACCATTTTAAAACCAAAGTAAACCAGATTTTTTAACAGTATTAATAAAGTTAAAAACTAAACGAATAATAAACTATTTACACTTACGCATAATGGTTGACCGCTATGACATGTGCTACGGGACAACCTAATTCTTCAGCGTGGCTTTTCCCAAATTCGGATAAATTTTTGGCGGGAAAAAAATTTTATACCAGAGAGGCAGTATAAAATGACTTTAAAGAATTTGTTGTCTCCCGTTCAGCTGATTTCTTCAAGAATGGCATCAATAAAGTGCCGCTGCGTTGGCAAAGATACATCGATTGCATTACTTTGATTAATAGAAACAAAAATACGTTAACTTATTTCATAAAAAACGGCAATTTCATAGGTACTAACAGAATAATTGTAACGTGATGTTTTTTTTTAAATTTGTACTAAGAAAATAATATACTACGTTTTTGGTTGAATTATTATGAGTTATTTTCAAAATTTCAAGTCTCCAGTTCACCGGGAAGTGTTCGAAATTTAAGGTACAAGATTCCACCTGAAAAAACAGATAGGTAAACAAGAAAGTGACTTAATAAAAAGGCGGTAAAATAAATGAAAGTGTAAAAGTTGACGGCTCCGTATCGCAGTGGCTTAGTAATGAGTGGCTGCGCTGGGGGCCGCGGGTTCGAATCCCGCACGGAACAAATATTTGTATGGCCCAGAAATAATTGTTCCAGGTCTAGATGTTTGTCCTTGTGCAATTTATGTTTGTAAACTGCCTTCACGATACAGGGGAAAATCCTAGTGTGGGGCCATTGAGCTATTATGTACTACGTACTAGAGGCGACACTGCATTCAGCTACTATGTTCCACTCAACTGCAGTGCATACACCGCACTTAATCAGTCACTCGCTAGGCGCTTGTAGAGTTGAAACGTGTTGTGTTGATTTAAAAAAAAATCTCGTGATAAAAATATGTCGTCGTGTGTGCTTAGATATTGCACAAATAATTCAAGAAATGTCAGTAAAAACCAAGAAATTACTTTTCATTGGTTAATAAGATACTTAATCAATAAAAAAGTATTATAAATTAGTAATAAAACAAATTATTCCTAAGACGCCATCTCGTGTCACGTAATGTAGATTATGAAATTAATTAGTTCAGATGCGACATTTCTGTGGGTACTTAAATATATGACGAATATATTATTATACACATTTTTTTGTAGAAACGTATGAGTTATCATTATTAGGCCAAATTTTTTATATTTAAATCTGCTAATTATCATATATTTTATTTTTAGGTTTTACATCAGTCAAAGTGGAATAAATTCGTCAATTTTTAACTCTCGCGTGCACAGAATTTATAAACGACTCTTATTCTAATTTAAATAAATATATTTGTAATTTAAATGTTATATTAACAAGTTTTGTTGAACATACATTTAGTATGTTTTTTTTGATATTTGAGATAGATAACTTTTAAAATATTGAGATAAAAATATCATTAAAATGTAGTTGTGATATAATATTGTGTAATATTATATTAAATAAGCAAATGTAATATACAAAATAAATGACAAAATTTTAAAAATTGTTCTCGATATAATTTACCTATTTAACAGTACAATCTATATATTACCTACTGATCATTCTACCTATGTTTATTCTATGACAAAAAAAAACAACCGCGGGAACACAGAGTAGCGCACATTTTTTGTTTGAAATAGCTGTTCTAGTACGTAAGTACATATTACTTCAATGTGAGGGGCACGTTTTTTTTTAAATAAAAAAAGGATATCCGCTGTGCAGAAATAAATGCAATAGTTTTATTAATCAGATGTTTCAATAGATCGACCAGCTCATAAAATCGATAATCGTTGATGGAGAACGTTTTCGAGAAACGGCCTTGTGCCGGGTTTCTATGTTTAAAAAACGTTTCGTTTTCCCTTACGTGCAGTTTTACAGTACATGAGTTAGTGACCCATTTTTTTAAACAAAATATCTCCTGGTTTAACAACTTACGAACTGCTCAAAGTAGGTTCAAATAGACTGTATCGAAAACTGTTTTACAAGATGCATCATTTGTAAAAAACGGATCATTACGAGACGTTTCTTTAATATTATGGGGATCGAAAATTATATTTTAGCATTAACCGCAAATATAATAATACAATGAAAACGCAAAGATTTGCGAATTAGTAACTGTGGTAATCCTAGGATTAATAAGAAAAATTCCTTGAAAAATCTATTAAAATTCTCCTGCAGTATGGAGGCGTTTTACAAACATTAAACATAAATCAACCACGGGCAAACATCCTTATTCTACTAAAATGATTTTAGAGATCACTTGAAAAGATAATAAGTCGTAAAAAAAACTAAAACACGATTTCCGCAATGCAGTTAAAACTACTTTCTCCATTCCGATACACATTTGCCAAAAGTCAATCCAATCATAGACATAATTAATTTTTTTTTGTTTTTAAGTTTCTCAAAAATCTTAATTGCTTTATTAATTTAAAACTATTGCTAACATCTCACGAACAAAGTTATATGGCTATATTGTGACCACAAAAACCAGATATGTATTTCCTAACTACGTACGTATAAAGACCGCGTGGCGGCATACATTCGAACGAGAAATGTCTGTACACATTATAATGAAACAACTGAACAATTTATAATGAACGGTGTAATCAACGGATCGTCTTTAACCTGTGACAGGTAACTACAGGACATAAACCTCGCCAGAATAAATAGAATTTATCGGTTGGTCGGACGGTCTATTCTAGCAGATGTATCGAACCCATGACAATGATTCCATTCACCATTCATTGACAATGCCTGATGGTGGCTTAGCTAGAGTAAAGCTTAATATACATGTAATAATGTATTATAAAAAATAGTTACATAATATTTAATATATGTATATAGTGCCGTTTTGGCCCAAAAATTAAATAATTTAATTTAATTATACTCTGACGGTAATAAAGCAGTAGAATGGTCAGATTTTAAATGAAATGATGATAATTAACAGCCGTAATAAAAATGCATAATAAATAAAATAGACTGAATAGAATAGAAATATAATGACTTATTTATGTACGGAGAGTCGTATTATATACCTATACCCCATACCCTCCTTACCGCCTCATGAACCAATGACGAAACTATATAACGAATTAAACAGTGTAAATAATTAATGTAATTT